AGACAGTTTCGGCTGGTTAAGCCCAAGATTTCTCCTATTTCACTAAATATTGGCCGAGTAAGTTCGTTGATCTGATTTTGCCCATTTCATTAATGTTAATTTAAATGAAAGCTTTAAAACTGATAATCTTGGTATGACTTTAATTTTTGATATTTTGCTTGATTATCTTAGCATTACATCTGTAACAGCATTTTAAATAAAAATAAGGTATCTTACCCAATGCTTACCTGTTGATACTGGATACAAAAACTAACTGATAAATACAGAGGAACGGTTTCTATATAAGACATCTGCTATTCCTAAGGTGTTGGAATCTAATTACTCAAAAGTGTAACATCCTGGCCAGAGATCCGTATCATGTCCTTCATAAGCGTCAAAAGCCACATATTCGCCCATGAAAAAACCTAGATTATGAAACTGATAAAGTCGACAGAAGCATTCATTGTGTTGCTCAAACACCAGATAGCCATTTTACTACGCCCACATGGAACTGTGGAGGTATATTGTCGTCGCCCCCCGTCGGTCAATATTTTTTATGAGCAATATTTTGTGTACTGATGAGATCATGGACATGTTCGTATTTAACAATTTTTGATAGAAATTCTTTTGTCAAAATTTGTTTGCGAGCACAATAGAAGGTACAGTCAATAAATTTTAATGGTGTGATCATTGGGATTCATAAGAGCTTGGCTAAGTTAGAATTTGCCGAATATTCGATAGAATGTTTTTGAGTTATTGTCAAAGTTAACAATTTTTAACCCCGAACTGTAATCGCAAATCCACGTGTCGTCTGCTAGAATGTAGTCCAACGAATGAAGTCACGTGATTAACTAGCGGATTCCTTGTCAGCAGAAAATTTCTATGGAACACAAAGTGGACCATATTCTTATGTTGTTTCAGTGACTTTTAGCAATAAATCACGCTGCCTATCTTATTTTGTCAGTTATTTGTGTTTTTCAATCGTGGTTCTTTGAAGGAATTGTCATTAGTTATAATGAAATATTATCAAAGATAAATACTAAGAGAAGTTAGTTATACGACTGGGTATCAAAACAACGTGTTTTTCTCGACTTATTTATTGTACACGAAAATAGGTGACGTTTTTTGCCGCCGTTGACGAGTTGGTTACTCATGAAATATGGGTTAAAGTGGGGGAATCATAAAGAAAATCGAAACAAACCAATTTTAATTATTTTGTAGAATATCTGAGGAAACATCTAAGACATAATTAAAATTTCCGTTTTTTTTAACTTTGACCAACTTCGATGCTGAATCCTTAAATGCACGAAAATAGGTTAACACCACTGTACTGCAGTTGATTTACCAATAATGTGAAAAGTGAAACAAATTCGTCAAAATTCATCTCGGGCCAAACATCTGGCATGAAGGGGATTCGACTCTTCGGGCCATGCTTCGAAGAGGCACCTCTCATTTTTGACTTTCTTCCCCATTTATTATTTCCGAGGCTTTTATATGGCGTATTACGGAGGTTGGCCCCCTTCAGGCCTATGAAAGGTTAATGGGCCACTCATTTTATGCCCCCCTCGCCGGCTTCTAACTATACTCTCCTTGCACATAATGAATGTGTCTGAGAGGTGGATATGGACGGTCGTTTTGTCGACAATCTCATATCACAATTGGCATATCAACTAAATTCAGCTGGCAATTTCAAGATCTGAAAAGGAAATGTTGAATTAATGTATACCACGTTAGACTGCTGTGTTAACACGACCCCCGAGTCTGGGATTGATTGGCCACAAACACGAACTACTGCTCTCAAACAATGCGTCTTTGTTCGTCATATTTCTTACAAGGATATTTTTGTAATATCTCGGGGTATTGCGGTGAATGTAGGTAATTATGTCACAGGTAAATCGGTCACCGGAAATTTGGTCACAGTAAAAAGGTCACACGGTAATTTGGTCACAGTAAAAAAGTCACACGGTAATTTGGTCACAGTAATACGGTCACATGGTAATTTGGTCACAGTAATAAGGTCACACGGTAATTCGGTCACAGTAAAAGGGTCACACGGTAATTTGGTCACAGTAAAAAGGTCACATGGTATTTTGGTCACAGTAAAAAGGTCACATGGTAATTTGGTCACAGTAATAAGGTCACACGGTAATTTGGTCACAGTAAAAAAGTCACACGGTACTTTGGTCACAGTAATACTGTCACATAGTAATTTGGTCACAGTAAAATTACCCATTTTCAGTGGTGTTGGTCATCTTATTCATATCAACCGCTTGTAGTTGATAACTAGATTCAATAAATGGTGCAGGACGGGTAATGTCACAACTTAAATAGGTTCGTGACTTTGCCCCCGACTTAGCACAAAATTTATTGAAATTGACTTTTAATTCAAATTTAGTTTACCTGTGTATATTGGCTACATGGAAGTAGTGATGCTATTTAAAAGGCGAAAGCCGCGATGAGATTTGCTGCTGGTGGGCGTATAGCCATGTGGGCCCCCTCGTATATACTAGCACCGTTGCTCGTAAATTTCCACGCCTGTCCCAATGACCTGAGCGTTTTTCAATTTCCGGGTAGGATGAGATGGGCGCCCTTCAGATACGTGAGATACGTGCGAAGCATCTCACCCTACCCCCAACCGAAAATCGAAAAGAATCTGCTTTGAAACGCTCACGTTATTGGTACAGTCATGGAAATTTATGAGTAGTGGAGATTATATATAAAATACATATTAAATCAACTTCATTGCTGAAGTCAATACTGGATGATTTCACAGGCTGCATTCAGTGAGTGAGAATTCTGTAATTTGGAATGGCGAGAGTCGGCAAAAGTTAAACGGTGGTATGGCTTGCAAGCTTAAAAGGCAGACCGGTGGCGGGTTGTATCAGCAATAACTATATAGCTGCAGATTGACAGGTATACCAAATACTGTTCGATCGTTCAGGGCCCCACAAGGTCCACCCATCTCTGGCAGAGGGCAAGCAGAACACTATATTATGTATTATGAAATAAATATCACTACACCAGTTACCAGTAATTTCATTTTACTAGTTTTGCCTTGACCAGATCACTGTGTGACCATATTACTGTAACCAAATTACCGTGTGACCTTATTACTGTGATCAAATTACCGTGTGACCGTATTACTGTGACAAAATTACCATGTGACCCTTTTACTGTGACCAAATTACCGTGTGACTTTTTTACTGTTACCAAATTACCGTGTGACCGTATTACTGTGACCAAATTACCATGTGACCCTTTTACTGTGACCAAATTACCGTGTGACTTTTTTTATTGTGACCAAATTACCGTGTGACCTTATTACTGTGACCAAATTACCGTGTGACCTTAATACTGTGACCAAATTACCGTGTGACCTTTTTACTGTGACCAAAGTTCCGGTGACCGAATTTCCTGTGACCTAATTACCGCGCCCTATTGCGGTATGCAAGAACACAATTCAGTTTTATGTTTTATTACACATGTATTTAAAATCCTGAAATATATATTTACAAAATTAACAATATAATACAACCTTTAAAGTATATATCCAAATTTAACATAGCTTACAGAATGGGCCTTTTATATAACAATGAATACAATGCAACTAGTAGGGAACTGTCTCAAAGGGAGGTAACTACATTATTTCCATTCATAAGGTACACGTATGAGTAATGTCTGATGTTAAATATAAATAACCGCTGAATAAATAGCCTACCCAGTAACGGGGTTTTAGGACTAACTTATATATATACATATAAATATATATATATATATTAACTCAAACAATAGTCTTTTTCCAAATTGTCGATTATCACATGCGGACCTTACAATTGAAAGGAAAATTAAATGATGACAGTTTGTCTTGCAGACGATAAAACTATCGGAGACCATTATCAAACTTGTTGGATATTATAAATCCTGTTGACGACACGATAATCTTGTCATGGAATCACGGGCACACGCGAGATTTTACTCAAGATTCGAGTCGGCGACAAGAAAGACCGCCCATGTGCCCGCACCTCAACAGGTGTCGTTGGATATTTTTTACATATTATCTGTCAAACGACTGTAGAAAGTAGAACAAATCAAGGTCATTATTTCAGATCATGATTTTTCGGGAAAAATAGTGAGTTCCTCTCGATAAATCTACCTCAGTTTTGAAACTCTGTAGATTTTCTTGAGATTCATCGCCATGGCACATATCATCTCAACAATTTGTTTCCAAAAAATTTATGTAGCCAACTCCTCGACCAAAGCGGTTTCCACATGATTTTAATATAGCCTAATGTACCTGAAAACAGTGTGGTCAGTGTATAGGTTATTCCAGAAACAAAATGTTGATAAGATAAACGCGAGTCGCAAATACACTTGATAGTGACGTTTTTTTCGGATAATACGCTTGATCGTCTGAATGGTCTGAATGCTGTGAAATTTAAACAACGATTGATGTAACCAACAAGATTTAGTCTTTCAAGTTCCTAATTCCATCCATCTTATTTCCTGACAGGAGCAAAAATACCACAAACATGATCTTTAATAACAAAGCGGTTGTGATGTGAAATTGGTTTTTACGGTGGCTCTCAAAAACTTTAATTTCCACCTAGGTCCACTTAGTGGTAATTCTTGTAATTTTTAATCAAATTTTTTAATTTATTAAAAAAAAGATATTTGCGAAAGGGATAGTCATCTTTATATTTGTGAGACAACTCATGTCACATGATAGTTATTGATATAGATATGGTAACTATGGATTAATATTATCCTTCGTGGATAAAGGATTAACTCATTTTTGCATGCCTACTTATGTATGAGTATGACTCAACTTAACTGTTTCTCCCCTCAGAAAAACAATCACGCCAATTTTAAATCTGAATCAACCTCGTGACTGACTCATAGTTTGGCAAACCTGAAATATACACAAGTTAACACGTATCCCAGCGAGAACTAATTGTAGTCTGATTTCGAAGGGGTCGTAACTCTTAAAAACTCTCTAGTTGGGGAGGTAATTTTCTCTTGAAGCAAGGGAACTTGGGCGAATTGAGAAAGAGGCATCCGTGTTTGTCACATTTTCTTAAATTTAGGCAGTCTTCTTACACACAAAATGGCTTTAAAACGAATCAATAAGGTGTGTATTTGATTAGTTCTTTATTTCAGAACCACAAATCTATATAACTTGATCAAATATTTAGACGTATTTGTTACGAAATATTGGCTAAAAATAGCCACCAGAAAAAAAACATTGATTTGATTGAAACAAAAATTCTGAAAGAAATAAATGACGAATCATTACTGTTGCACATCAATCATTATGTTATTGTTCATTATCATAATTCAACATCAATTTTTGATTAAATGTGAAATTGTGTCATTTTAATATCTATTTGAAATATATTTTTACATTTACATAATAGAGACACAAATATATTGGGTGGGGCAGATGCTGGAAAGTGATGTAGAAGTAGGGGCTTCTTACCATAGGTTATAAATAAGGTCTAATATATTATTCGCCATTTATGTTTTTTTTGTGTTATATTTCTGAAGAAAAAATTAGATGAATGAAAAGGTATCCAGTTAAATCAGTAACTCATCAAAACGGTAACAAATTTTAATAGTCAAAACGGTAACAGATCTGCCATAATGGTAACAAGATATTTTGGTTAAAACGGTGCATATTTCTGTTCTATATGGTGTAATGAATGACACAAGTATCCATGCCATTTGATATAAAGGCAATGATCTTGATCTGAAGGTCATTGGCAGTAATTAATCAGCAGAATTTAGTTCAGCGATCTTTTGTTTTCATGTGATTTAATCTGGATTAACAATAAAATAAGCGATTATCTAATTGACGATAAGTGATTAAGATGAGTAGATGTCGTATTATACAGATAATTCATATTAGTGTGTTATTGTATCGGCAGATCTGTTACCATTTTAACCAAATTTCTTGTTACCGATCTGTTACCGGTTTAACCTAAATATCTTGTTACCGTTTTGGCAGATCTGTTATCGTATTGACTGGTTTTATGTTTGTTTTGGGTGTAAGGCTATAGAAGATACTCTCCTATAGAAGCACTGGCCATGGTCACAAGAACAAAACATACTTCTTTTACATCAGTTTCGAAATGGTTCTATAAATGTTCTGCCCCATGTGCATAAAGAGAAATTACAACAATGTGAATTCTGAAAAGACTGAAATAATGCTTACAAATAATCCCAAAAAAAATGGTTAAAACTCAGAATGCAATTGTTTCAGAGAGTTAATGGAATGGAGTCCAACTTCCCATGGACAAGTAAATTACTTAGATTTTTGTTTCTCTTAAAAGCAGTAATCAAATGTTTAGTGAAAATATTCATTATTGATTTTGAAGTTCTTATAAAATCGTTTGACAATCAGACAAGCATTTTTTGGGAGTGGAATTACAGGTTGCAACAAAGGGTATGATTTGATTGTCATGCTGGATGTTTAGACCAGTTTGTTTTAGACCCAAAGTGAGTCACGAACTCCAGTATATTGTGACTGACTTTGCAACAAGTTAAAAAATTGCAATTGTATATTACATGCAGAACATACTTGAATGTATTCGGCTAACTGTTCAATAAAGGAACGTTTAAAGAAGATATGCATGTTCAAATACTACATATTCCATGCATGGTAAAAGCTTGATTGTTCATTCAAAATCAGTAAACGACACCTTCTCTTAAGAACCTTAAAACTTAGCTTTCCAAGTAGTATGCAGTGCACCATGTTTTATCATAGAATTGCTTACATAAGGGAATTCAACTAGTTGGAAAAACTTGACAACTAGTGAATAAAATACGACTGACGATTTTAGACTAATTGTGAAGACTTCAGGGCCTAGTCTGTGTATGAGAATATTGTCTTAATCAATACTCAATAGAAATAGAAAACTACAGGAAGGTAAAACTGAAGAAAGATCGCCCACTTTCGAGAGCTTCAGCTGATACAATGTATGGGTGAATCAGTGTACATAGTGATATGAAATGTCAAAATATGCGTATACTTTACAATAAACATGACTTATAACTTGCCATCATCCAAATGCAGATATCATTGACAGTTGTAGTTGAATTTATGAAAGATTACGTGAAGGCTGTTGACAGTATATTACTTGTTATATTTATTTACTTTATTTACATAAAACATTATGTATGTGGCGTGGTTAGTAATGTCCAGCACTATGCAGCCACCGAAAATGGGGAAACCATGGCTTTAAATATGATTTTACAATTATGTAAATTCTTTATAGGTACTTGCATTTGAATTTCATTTGATGGTGGAAAGTTTATGTATTGTACTTATAAACTAAATTTTACAAAAAATTCTGACTATTCATGGTAACTAGGCTTAGTAAGGAATTTTCTTGAAGGGAATTAACTATTGAAATTGTTGAAACTGTTTAGGAAAAGGTAGATTTATGAAGCAAAAATAAAAGAATGGACCATAAATATTCCATTCCAAAACGTAACAAAAATTTAGATAATTATGAAATAGTAGTGTTGCAATTATGGAAAGTGAAGATAAGCTTTAAGATATCAATGGACAGAGAAACCTTCACAAAGTCCATTGGCCAAAACAAAACATGAAGTCTGAGATATGAATCGACTTAATCAGACCAAGAAAAGGTATAGCCTGATTTACCAATCAAGAGAGGGCAATTTTTTTTTTAAAGATTACTCATACTAGAGGTTAAAATTCCCAATTGTTGCGAATTGCTTACATTTTTACTTAATCCAAATGCATCTAAAACAGCTAGTTTTGATCAGATTATGGACGAAACGTGGTATATTGATGAGTTCTCATATGAATTGCCAAAAAGGTTTTTGAGTTATTACCAAAACGTTGTTAAATATTAGCTTGTGAATGTGATGGAGATTAGAGACTGCAATTTATTCAGATTCAGACAGGATTTGGTATTAGGTGTTTTGAGTCATTTTGAGGCTTGATATTTGCGAAGACCAAGTTGAAAATTGATATTTAAAAAAAAAAAACAGAAGGTCGAAAACAGTACCCTTACTTTAATTCACGAATAAACTCGACACAGTGGGGTGACTAAAATATGCTTTCTAAACGCATACGAGAATTATAGTCACAAAATTTCATGTTGAAAAATGAAAAGATTATTTATTCTTTCGTTTCATCATACATATTAAGAACATTCTAATTTTTTATTGCAGCAAGCGTCAAGAAAACGTGTTTTCCAATTCGCGAATATCAAGATTCAAAATGACTTGTCGGCGCGGCGTAGGAGTTGGAGGATGTCTGAGAAACCAAGACACCGTTTATGAATAATTTGAGATAAACTGCCCTTTAATAAGTCAAAATAAATACTAAATTTTGATTTAGCTTTTGATGAAATTTGGAAAGCGTTACATTGTAAGATGAGTTTGATTTTCATGATTTTATGAATATGCTGTTTGTGATATAGATTGCTCTTGAATTATGATGGAGGCTGGAAAAGTGATGAGCTACGGGCGAATACTCAAAAGTTATAAGCTTAGCTCTCAAACTTAGTCAAATGTGCCAAAATTAGATTAATTATTTTTCCAGGAATTACAAGATTTGGGTCGAGATCCCCCAGCACAATGTTCTGCAGGTCCAGTTGGAGATGACTGTAAGTTTTTTATCTTTCATCATAACAAATTTATTTTGCTGTACAAAATTCCAAATTCCAAACCACCTTCCCATCAGGCATAATGATCAATCTATTGGTTTCTAATTCATTCACTCTTGGTCATACTGAAACTGAGCAAAATGATAGCATTGACCTTTTTATAAATTTTGTAGAGCTGCATTAATTTAAATTAGTGGTATTTTTTTTTTAACTTTCAGTATTTCACTGGCAAGCAACTATAATGGGACCGGTAAGTATTGACAGATTAATATTAACTTTCAGACAAAACCATACTAACTTACTGTCTAGATATTATTCATGTGGCATTTCCAACTATATTTTAAATTATTCATTACACCGGAATTTGAGTTGAATATATTTTTTCTTGTAATCTCTCCAGAAGTAATAATCTATGAATAATCTTCAGTAAAACATATTCTGTTTGAATTGAAATACTTTTCATGTTGAAATCCATAGTCTCTACTTGTGACCTAGGCCAGTGCTTCTATAGAAGAGATTCTTCTATAACACCTATAACCATTGGAAAGGTTATTTTCACTATAATTGACTCTCCTATGAGGTAAAACATGTTCTTAAAAATACAGCCTTAACGATGCCTTTGATATAAATTGCTTTTGATATTGTTTTTCAGCCAGAAAGTCCGTACCAAGGTGGTGTTTTTTTCTTATCTATACACTTTCCTACAGATTATCCCTTTAAACCACCAAAAGTAACTTTTACAACTAAAATATATCATCCCAACATAAACAGTAATGGTAGTATTTGTCTGGACATACTTCGTAGTCAATGGTCACCTGCTCTAACTATTTCTAAAGGTATGTATCGACTTTAATTCATTATGTCTAATTTTATAGCAGAAAGTTTTTTTTCTGAATTTTTACTAATTAAAAACTTTAGACTTTAACTTAGCTTCTGATAGTATTCTGGCAGTTGATGGTTCCTCCTTCCTTAACTTTTTGATGTGTAGAAAAGCATGCATTAAAACCTTATGGACTGTTGCTGGAAACTGCTTCAATTTTAAAATAGGTCAATTAAACCTTGACGGGACAGGATCTGAGAGCAAGTTGATTTTCTGGACTGGTAGTGACTGGTACTACTTGCAGTATCTGACACTTGATTAAGTAAAGCATTCTGAGACAGTTTTGATCTGCTCATGGTCTATTTTCTAATGATTAACTCTGATCCAGTTGATTGCAGATGGACAGTTTTTTAAATCAATGCTTTGTAACTGCGAGGGATCAAGTTCTAGTTTATTTTTAATTTATTCTTTCACCTGAGTTGAGTTCTAAATCAAGCATGAAGTTTCATATATTGGTCAAGTTCATGTATATTTAAGATAGGAATTGAATGGAAAGTTTTTGACATTTTTCTACTTTTAAATATAAAGACTCAAGTAGGTAGGTAGGTAGATGACAAGTTAACGTTCGCTTCCAGCGGAAGTAGATATATATACAAGCGCTTCAGATTGTAACCAATCAAAATAACTTGATAGCAACTTTTTATCTAGACAAACAGAACCAGGTTTATTATGACAACTATTCTGGTTAACCTCCTATGAAATGATGGCAATGTTCCCGTCTTGGCAACCTATTTAATAAAAAATCTGAATATGCTTTTGCATATCTTTAGTCGAGAACTATATAAACACTCACTATGACTACTTTATTTAATGTGTTAACATTAAAATCACTATCAATGTATTAAATTTATTAAAAGACCACTGAAGGGAATAATGCAAAACACAATCTCTAAAATGGAGGTTGTCCCCTTATTCCTGTTTGATAATCTGAATAAGCACCAGACCTGTTTTGTTTGAATGAGAAAAATGGCTATTTCAATTAATTATTATGTTATTACATCATTTATTCATTTTTAACTTTAGCAATTACCAAATATCCATATTTAGTAACCATAACATTTTTATACATTTAGCAATGAGTTTTAAAAATTAACCTTTTTATACGCTCAACTGGAAATGTGAACATATATTGCTGCCGCCCCTGTCTGTCCACATTTCTCGCACGATAGAGGCTACAGCTTTAATCTGATCTTGATGAAACTTGTTATGCATGTATATATTGATAAGATCGAAATTGGTAATGATAGGATGAACGGAGTTATTGCCCTTGACTTAGTGAAAACGTGTAAAATTTGCTTGCATGCAAGATGTAGGCTGCAATTTTTATCGATCTTGATGAAACTTAGTATGCATGTATATATTGTTGAGATTCTGGTCAAATTCGAAATTGGTTAAAATCGGATGAACTGTTTCAAAGTTATTGCCCTTGACAAAAATGCGATAAAAATGCATTAAATTTTACTTGTGTGCACGATGAAGACTGCAATTTGATCAATCTGATCGGTCAAGTTTGAATTTGGTCATAATGGTTTTATCTGATCACAATGAAACTTGGTATGTATGTATAAATTGAAGAGATCTCAAGTTAAACAATGGTAATAATTGGATGAATGGTTTTTTAGTTCTTGCTCTTGAATTAATTCAATTTGTCTAATTTGGCTTGTAGGCCTGATAGAGACTACATTTTTTTTAATCTGATCTTGATGAAAATTGATATGAGACCTTGTAAAGATTGAATTAGCAACAATCGGGTGATTGGTTTCACATATTAAACCACAATAGACTTTGTTATCATTTCTGACAGCTGATAGTGGGGGTATGTTACCTTGCCTGGAAAGCCATCTCTTATCGATATTCACGTCATGGGGTAGTATATCCATCATGGGGTTGCATATCTATCAAGAAATTGGTAATTTGGACTGTTAACCATCCATTTGATGCCAAAATAGTATTGTTTCTGAGATCATCTAATTGTTGGGTGACCTAATACTGTAAATTCTTTAGGAATTTACACATTTCTTTATTCAACTATTCATCTATATATTGGTTAATTATTATCTCATTTCATATCATATTTGATTGTAAAGTAAATTATTCTGAACTATTTTTTGTTAATAACTCTAACACTGTTGCTCTCTCTTTGCTTTAGATAAGTGACTTTGTATTACTGTAAGCTTTACTCTGAACTGATAAATGAAGAATTTTCTGTCAGTAATACTGACTCACTATTAAATTATATGTCTATATTATTTGGCTAGGGTAGGTTTGTATGACATACCTGTTATACAGGCTAACCAGGTTTCAACAATCTATATTAAATAGTCATACCTATCAACAATAAATTAACAATTCAAAACAATTGGTTATAACATCGGCAATGAGTTCAAAAACTTACTAATGTTTATTTTAAAGTCAAGTTCTTAAATGTCAGAAAAAAGTTATGGTATATTTGATACTGTGTTTGACACAGGGACATAGTAAAAAAAATCTGATCATGTTTAGATGGACTCATTTATGGTCCGGCTTTACATGGATCATACAAAAATTTATGCAAAATTTGGCCATTTAACAAAATTCTACAAAACTAGCGACACAAAAGTGGGTTGAAGCAACTCCCACAAAAAAAGAATCTAGCCCCATCTGTATATTGCATTCGAGGAACGTGCAGAAAGATGATTAAAAACTTCATTCACAAAAATGATTAGGTTATACACATTTTTATCTTAAAGGTCAATATCCTACTGTATTCACATTTAAAATATTAAAAGAGATATAATTCCCTGTCAATACGTTAGTAATATATTATAAGAAGACATGATACTCTCAGTTGCTTGTAAACTGGGTGACTAGAGTTATTTTGGTGAAGTTGTCTACAAATGAGACCCCTGGGTTAAATTTTCAACATCAATTCTACCAAAGCAATCTTGTTTTAGCCTATTCCTTCACATGATGTTTTTGAGAATACATAGATTGTTCTTGAGAATAAACAATTAATCAAACAAGCTGTTTAGGACATAGACCAGGAAGTTTTCGTTGATTTTTTACTTGTTTACTTTATTTTTCAGTTCTCCTATCAATTTGTTCGTTATTAACAGATCCAAATCCAGATGACCCTTTAGTTCCAGATATAGCTCGTACCTATAAAAATGACAGAACAAAATATAATACTCAGGCCAAGGAGTGGACATCCAAATTTGCTATGTAACATCTAAATCTTGTTAAGTGAAATGTAGGGGTAGGGGAGGATATACATTACAATGATTCTTTCAATTTTGGAATTCTAAATTTGAAATGGAACAGTTGTCATTCACTAGAGGAACTGTTGCAGTACTTGGATTCCACTATATATATTCCATCTTATATTTGTTCTAAGAGAATAAATTTTAGACATGATTTAACATCTTTGATGTTCAAGATTTGCTCTGTAGCTGTTTTTTTCTGACTTTAATTTAAACATGTTAATGATGTCTTTGCCAATTGTTTTGTAAAATGATTTTGTAATATATTCAGAATTGAGGATTAGTCTCCATTAATTCATAAAAGCCTACTGTAAAACAAGAAATATATGTTATCAAAAAGGTTCATACATTCACACATTCCAAGATACAAAAATTACAATACAATATCAATTCAATTTTGGACTTTTGTACAGGTGTCAAATGTTCTTATTGATGCAATGAACTAGTAATCTTAATATGTGAATATAGAATATCTACACCTCTAGCTCATTGATAATAATTTCATAATGTACAAATTTCTTGTTTTACAGTATATCTGCTGGGGGAGGGGGGGGGGGGAACCTACATCAATTTTTCTTCCATATATTTGTCCAAAAGAAGATAGGCATGGGTCCATGTATTCTTGAAACTTGCTGACCATCTGGTTCTGGCCTCTGGTAGTTATTAGTGACTGAGGTCGGCCAAATGAGTCAAAATTTCCCACAATGCTAGTCAAATGAGATCAAACAATCGAATTGAACCTCTTTCTTTATATATTCACTATATGTGAAGAATACAATTTTCAGCATATGTAGATTTCCTCCTCTCTTTCCAATTGTAGAAAAGTAAAGGATATATTCAAGTTTTACAACTGTCAATATTATTATCTGTCAGGGGCTAGGTTGTTATGTATTAAGTTGCACCAGCGATAATGCAAAAACAATCCATGTCAGTTCAACAGAGGTTTGGCAAGATTTTAGACTGCTATGAACATACTTACAGTGTTAGTTTGTAATCAGCAGATTATGATCTCCAATCACTAGCACATCAATGGAATACAGCCATTTTGATATGGAAATCATTCTGCTTAACATAATATAGGGAGATGAGTGCAGCATATGGGTCTTTGCTTTCATAATAGGTTTCAGGATTTTCTCGCTTTACATGTGTCCACACAATAACATTTGAAACTAAGATATAATTGAATTATTCATAAGAAGTAATACATAATCAAAAAACAAGCTTGTGCAATGCTTGCACACATATTAAAATGAGTGTGTAGAGACATAGCAGTTGCAATTTTAATTTGGCTTTAACTGAATATAAAAAAGACAATGGTTAGGCTAGTTTGAGATATTTTTGGAGGAATTATGCAATTTTTGTAAATTTCTAGTACATCTGAAGACTTTTACATTCAGGACTCAAATCAACCACAAAAAATGATGCATCTGTCCCTTTAAGAAAAGAATGTACGATATCACCCCTAAACCTGTTTAATTCTCAACTCAAATTTATAACTGGATGGATTTTGAGAGTCACACAGTTCTTGCTTGATTTTGATGAATCCTAATATTTAAAAATTTCATGAAAGTTTTTAATTGGTAGGTATATGGGGCCAGTTTTAGGAAATTCTAACTCAAGATGATTTTAATGTTACTGTTATTGGTAATTTAATATTGAATTGTTTATTTTATTTTTCAGTTCTCCTATCAATTTGTTCGTTATTAACAGATCCAAATCCAGATGACCCTTTAGTTCCAGAAATTGCTCGTACCTATAAAAATGACAGACTAAAATATTCAGAGCAGGCCAAGGAATGGACCAAAAAATATGCTATGTAATAAATGGGATATTATCTTATGTAGTGAAATGGAGGGGTGGGGGTTATACGTTGTATTGCAATTCTTCTTACAAGTTGGAATTCTAAATTTGAAATAGAAAAGTCAGTAAAAAAAAACAAGCGATTCAAAATATGATCAGTACTATTTTCCTTGGGTTCTATTTCTGACCAAGTACTGCATAACCAAGACTATGCTATAAACTCTTTCAGTCATCCTATTTTCCCTTTTTGTCACAAATTATTTTAGAAAAATGTTCAAGAATTGGTCTGTAGCACAGATTTTCTGACTTTAATTTATATGATGTCTATTGTCTGTGCCAATTGTTTGTAAAAATAATTTTGTAATATATTTAGAACTGAGTATTAGTGTTGGTTAATTAATACACTTTGAAATGGAATGTTTGGGTATGGGTACTTATAGAAATACTTATAGACATTTTGAAATCTAGCGGTGCTGGGCATGTTCTGGTGTCTTAATGATATCAAGTTGTTAACATTCCACATGTTGTAGATATTGACCAAATATGGGTATACATGCAATAATATACCACTGTTCTATAGACCTGTAAACAGTATAAAGGTCACACAAAAACAGCTTGGGGTAAGAATGGACTTTTGAGAAACTTGATACCTCCTACTTATGAAGATAAATTTCAAGATAAACCTGTAATCTCAAACCCAAATTTCATAAAACTTCGTACTTAACTCCTTGTTTAAGTAATTCTACCTCTTAAAATTTAAATCCTCGAACTTACATGATGTCATAAATATTCTTTATAATTCGATAGAAAATTTAATTGTTTTACCACAAATGAATACTCAAAAGTCGTAAATAACAATGTCAATTACCATTAAATTGTTAAGACATAACCCTTTTCATTGCTTTATGACATTTACGGAAGAATAGGTGCTGAAATGTCTTGGCGAAACATTTCCTCAGTACTCAGAGATGGGGATATTTTTGAACCCCCCACTCCCTTCGGAACAAAAAAAAGAAAAAAATATTGTAATTTTACCTTCAAAATCGCGTACGTCTTCCCAGATAAAAACAGAGAGTCGCAGAGTGATGCAGGTAAGAGCGGACTGTCATGTAAAAAGCGTCTAGTCGTTCGGGTGGGACAGGCTATACACGTTAAAGATCCCTCAATTGAAATACGGCAGGCTAATACTGTTATATCCCTCATTGTACCTAGCATGGCGTTGCCCGTCTTCATTAGCCCACATGCTTCAGCAAATTTTCTATATTAAAACATCTTTCCAGGAAAGGATGTCAATAAGGCGCGTGAATGAGAAATACTTGAACCTTAATGCTAGATGCAGACGAGAATATTTAAAATCGCCTGATCACAATGGGTCACGGGTAGCGAATATTTTAGAGCGTAGGCCTATTTCACTCGGTGGAATTTTGCCGTCAATCACGTGATTGGTAAACAATGACAGAGGCAATTGTATCTACGGCGGCCATTCTCGCTATGCCTGACAATAAATGAAGTGAAATGAATGAGCTAATTAAATTGCCGGCGTAAATAATTGGGATATTTAAAATTCGCAGCGATGTGGCAGTAAAAACGCTCCCAGCATAAGAAATAGAAAGCGTAGAATAAACCACTGGCACATAAACAATTCAGACGACTATAATACTATTAATAGCCTGTATCCCTTTAAAAGGTACGGACATATACCGGTAATCAAAACTTCAAATTCATACACGTGTCAAAAATAAAGTTTGTAGAGACCTTTATATAATGAAAATCAAAATTCAATGTATAGCTTTAATTACTACGAACAAGACCACAGGTGAAAGTCACGCGATATCACGTATAGGGTAAAACCCTGGATATTTAAAATCCCACATCTGAGAGAAATGGTTTTGTCCAATTGCAAACTGGCGATGACTAGCTTCTTTGTGTTTAAGTGTGAAAGAATTGCTGATCAGTGAGTTAGACTTTATATTTGTTTAAATATTGACACTTTGTTTATTTGATGGGTGTGAAGTTGGTTGATAGATGACAAGTTCGCTTCCAATCACAATAATTGCGTACGTGAAACGCGTTGCACATACAACAGTGACCGGAGACAGGGAACGATTTCACAAATTGTAATTTCCTGAAAAAAAAACTGTAGAAGAGGGTTTTACCCGTGAATGGGGTGCAACTCACATACCTACAAACTCAATTCATTCGATTATTAACAATTTAGAACTTACTGAGATTTCATCAATAACTAAGTCAAGGGCAGTAACTCCGAAACCGTTCATCTTATTGCTTCCAATTTTTTTCTACCTTGACTGAGATCTCATCAATATATACATGCATACAAAGTTTCATTAAGCTCAGATAAAAAAAAGATGTGTTTTTACTAAGTCAAAGGCAATAATTCTAAAACAGTTCATTGGATTATTACTAATTTCGAAAATGGCCAAGAACTCATCATTATGTATATGCATACCAAGTTTCATCAAGATCGTATAAAAACTGTAGTCTATATTCTGCCTACAAGCTGTACTCATACATACTATGAATAGTGGGAGGATGGGCTATACCTATAAACATACTATTCAGAGGAGGAGAATGGGCTGTACCCATATACATACTACTAATAGTAGGGGGATGGGATGGGCTGTACTTATAGACATACTACTAATAGTAGGAGGATGGGCTGATGAGGATATTATAAATCAAACCATTTAATATTCTTTTATATACATGTATCAGAACCAACCTATAAATGTATTAGGATTTAATTTGTAACCCATCTCACTGGATAAAATCAACCTATTCATACTCATAATAAAAGTATTAGATCTTGTCAAGAAAATAAAAGGAAATATTAGTCTAAGGTACCAAACAAACAAACCCCAAAAAACACTGACACGCATAACATTGCTAAAAAAAAAAACAAAAAAACAATTTAAGGACATACATTATTTATTTTATGTTTCTATACATTTTGAAGTTTAAAAAGGTGATATAATTATTAAAATTATAATCATAAATTATGAAAGCTATTTAAGAATGAGGTTAAAATGTTAAAAGTAGGTTAAAATTGTTAACACTAACACAACAAAAGCTGATTTGTAGGTTAAGCATACTATCTGAAGAGTTTGAATTCTGTATGGACATTTTGAAATAGCGCATACCACATGAATGTTTCTATCCCAGCCGCTATAGTTCCAAATAATGATTGTATGTATCTTACTTTAAGTAAAGTTTTCAATAAAGAAAATTTCAACAAGTATTATACCTTTGTTGTAATTGACAAAAAAATACAAAAAAGCATCCAATTCTAGCAGATGGAGCATAACACTTTAACTGTAATTGATTTTAAAGACAGAGATAGTACGTGTATATATACCTACATATTACAACATATCTTTAACAAGTCTAACACAAAAACTTTAAATAATCCTTAATTTATTTCATTCTTAAATATTAATATTCTGTGTCAGAAATTTTTAAAAAATGAGCACTCTTAAAATAATAAATCTTTTCTACCTTACAATCTTAAACCATAATACAATTAATATTATATCACTAAACTTTTTTATTCTGTACTATTTCATAAGCAGTATTCAAAATTAAAGGGATTGTAAAGAATTTTTCTAAACTTTGTATGTGTATCGAGGACAATGATCGTATCAATTTGCGCCATTCCAATTTTCAATCCGACATCAGAGGTTTTAGCAATTCTACTAAAAATAAGTGCTTTATGACATCACCCCTTATGTGATACAAGCAAATTTCATGGGGGTATGTCATAAAACACCAAGTTGCAGGAACCACAGATGTCTGATGATTGAAAATTGGAATGGTGCAAATTGATGCTGATGCTATCAAAATTCAATAACAATGTCTCCTAGCTGTAAATGCATTGGACACAATGGTAGGTGACAAAATTAAATTGGATTAAATTCTTAATGAGATCAGGAACATGTTTTGATCAATGAAAACCCTTGTTTCAAAAGTTTTAAGTTGATACTTTTGAGGCAATACTTTTCATTGGTCAAAATATCTTCCTATCTAGAAAATCTAATCAAATTCTGACTTCTGTACTTCATTGGAATTTCAATGATTTAATTTCTGCTTTACAGAGCTCAATTTCAACTATCCAGAACAATTGTAGGAGAGTCAAACATCAGCTTTTGATTCTGAGAAGTGAAATGGCTGGCTAAAATACAGCTTTATCAGCTGGAGTAGCACATATTTAGATGACCATATTCCATTAATTCACAATGGCATCTTGTTTTGTCTGAAATTTTGAATCTAATTATTATAGTGACATCCTTTATCAAATTAAGAAATTGATAAATTAATATTTGAATATTACATAAAAGAAAAAGAACAAAATAAAACTTCATAATTTACAAAAACTCATTACCAACAAACTGATATTTTCACCCAAAACAAAAAACAAACCTTAGTGTTTTTTTTTGCTCAACAAAAAAGGACAAATACAAGTTTGAATTTCTTTTAAAAATAGAGTTCCGTAATACTGCATTCTTGAAAGTCTTTAAAAGAATGCAGTAGCAAGGTGATTTGAAATCTATTTCATTTGTGCAAAGCAATCCTCCAAGTCCAATGTGTCAAATACAAGAGTAATCAAGGAAAAAAATTGTTAGAGGTCACATTGCGTATTTGTTTGTCCATTCCCTCGCAGTTTTTTGGTATTTATCCTTATCATTTTTATAAATACGAGCAATTTCTGGAACTAAAGGGTCATCTGGATTTGGATCTGTTAATAACGAACAAATTGATAGGAGAACTGAAAAATAAAATAAACCACCCATTATTGTGCATATTTGGATGTCCACTCCCGAGCTGTTGTGTTATATTTTTCTCTGTCTGTTTTAAATGCACGTGCAATTTCTGGAACTAAAGGGTCATCTGGATTTGGATCTGTTAATAACGAACAAATTGATAGGAGAACTGAAAAGACAAAACCAATACAATCTGGGAGTCAAAATGCTAGGTCTGATTTCATAGTTAGCAGTATAATAATAAATAACAATCTTTTGGGTCAAATTTGAGTCAAAACTAGACTTTGAATGACAAATTATGACTCTTATGCTTTCAAAGCAAGTATTGAGTAACATATACACCCATCACAGCAGTCTAGGATTACTTCAATCAATACAAAGCAATAAATAAGCATGAAATAACTATTTTACATCAAAATTATAATTCAGTCTTGCCAGGTTACCCATTAATTATATATCCATTAGTAAAGATATCTTTATGCTTTGACATGGCATACCATGCTTCGTAAAAATATATCTGATGGAATGTGTGTTCAAGACAAATTTCAGATACAGAACTTGTCTGGTGACTCATCAACATTGCTTACATATGTATAATATATTATTAAAATCGATACTGCCAGAAACAAGAATTGTTATTTAGATATAATACCCCTTTCGCACTGCAAAAGTAATTCGGTTCTATCGAGTTCTATCCGAATAACTTCCGGTTGCTTTCGCACTGGCAAAAAAACTTATTCGGTTATAACCAGAAGTTATCCAGATAGAAAAATCTTCCTCAAGAGGTGGATTTCGTCTGGATATGATCCAGATAAGTGGCAGTGCGAAACCAAACAAGAAGTTATCCGGATAAGTTTATCACGTTGGGGTGTCACGTGTATAAGCACTTCAAAATGGCTCCTGTTTGCGCGGACGTTATAATGATATTTGACGGGATTAATAAAGTACACGAATTGTCTAGGAAAAGAATGAATATATATTGGAAGAGGAAACAGAAAATGCTTTTGTTTTTATTTTCATATTTTTTATTTATAAACAAGGAATTTCAGTCCCGTCAACTCTGGGTGCAACCTAGGTCGGAATGGTGGATGAGAGCTGGCATTATTAATCTGAACGAGTTGGCAATAGTTGAAAAAACATGTTTATTCCTCTTCATGCCATCTAATTCATCTTGAATTTTAGTATCGCCCCAGACAGCGAGCATGCAGCGAATTTCGTCGTTGCTCCAATTATAATTGCCAACGTCCATATTTGTTTTTAATGTTTTGTCACGTGACATGATGTGTTACTAAAAATAAAAAGTTATCCAGATAACTTGACTCGGCAGTGCTAAAGCGGCTATCCAGATAGGATTGCAGTGCGAAAGCAACCCGAACCGAACTGAATCGGATTTTTCTATTCGGTTATAACCGAATTCAATAATTCAGTTGTGCAGTGCATTGCCTTTTGATCAATCCTTATACCATAAACACTGCCCATAAACACTATATGATGTTGGTCAAGAGATTGATTCTGTTATTTTTATTCCACTGAATTACCTACCTTTAGAAATAGTTAGAGCAGGTGACCATTGACTACGAAGTATGTCCAGACAAATACTACCATTACTGTTTATGTTGGGATGATATATTCTTGTGGTGAATGCAACCTGATAGTAAAAATACAAACACATTACTCAGTGGGCAGGGGGTATGAGCATAATCTTGAGAAATGCCCTTTGACATCTTGGCTTAAGCAGACATTCTATGTTAAGATTACCAGATGAAATATTCCTGGCAGGTACATAAGATAGCTTGCAGGGCAAGGTAACATGCGCCAACTGGCAGCTGTCAGAAACGATAAAACAGTGGTGATCACACGAATATTCGAATTCGAATGCATTTTTGCGAATATTCGAATCAGATTTTTCCATTCGATTAATCGCGCATGCTTGATTCATAAGATCTGTAAGTTTGAACAGCTGTAACATTTCGCTGTTTTGAAAACCTCCTGTTGATAATAATTTTCTTAATAGAAATCAAACTAAAATGTCGGCTGATACAAGAACCAGGGTTGTATAAAATTCTTCACTCTAAAGGAACCATAGACCAAGGCAACTTACAATCACCTCAAACTGCCACTTAAAAAATCAATTTCAAATTTGCATGCAAGAGCTCGATCTTGAATTGGCAGGTCTTATAGTATGGAACACATTTTAAGACGAACTGGCCTGAACAGATACGAATCTACCGGAATCAATGTTCACTTTGTAAAATAATGATGGACATTTTTCTAAAACTGGTTTCACACATTTTATCAAAAATATTTCGAGACAATCCCCGTAGTTTATACATTAAAGATTGCTATGCTGGATAATCAAAGGATTGTCCTATGACCATCTCTACCTGCACATCAAAACCGAAAGTAAATAAATAGACATCTTTTACATTCCAATCAGATTAAAGAATGTTAGCATCTGATACCTTTCTTATTGTTCTTGGACATTTTCAATATGATTCCTTCTATAATTTGATTTAATTATCTAGTGTTTCACGGCTTTAGCATTCCTCGAGAGACATTGGGAATATAAATAATCTCTATTTGAATGACATAAACTTTTCTAAGCAAGTTGTTACCAACTGTAAGTTTGTATTGCAGGTGAGAAAACGGAAAAATTCAGTTGCAAATAGCCCATTTTTCAATGCAATTTTTCAGTTGAAAATATCCTGGAATATTCGAATGCAAATCGTATGATGCTGTCGAATAGTCGAATGGTAAAAATCACCAGTCGTGTGAACACTATAAAACAGTCTTTAGTGACTAAAGTATGAATTTTCTCATACTGCAGAAATTTTATTAGTTTGAATTCAATTATATATATATATGCCAGTAAATTATGCTGAGTAATTCCACAATTTTTTTTAAAATCAATATCAATAAACCAAATACAACAAATAATTAAATCACAGAGCTCTAAGTCAACTCTAAAACCATTCGTCAAAAAATCTTCAAATTCAAACGTGACCACGATCTCATGAATAGAAATGATCACACCAAATTCATTAAAATCAGTTCAAAACTGTAGTCTCCATTGTGTGCGTAAACAAATTTTGACTCGTTTTTCCTTAGTCAAGAGCAATAACTAAAAAACCGTTCATTGAAAAATCATCAAATTCGAATTTGACCAAGGTCTCATGAATATAAATGATCACACCCAATTTCATTCAAATCGGATGAAAACTGTAGTCTCTATTGTGTTCACAAAGTCAAGAGCAATAACTAAAAAACTGTTCATCAAAAATACGTCAAATTAGAAGTTGTCTTATCAATTCCAATGATCACACCAAGTTTCATCAAAATCAGTTGAAAACTGTAGCTTCTATTGTGCTTTGACGCATTTTTACAAAGTCAAGGGCAATAACTCAAAAACCGTTCATCAAAAATGTTAGAACTTGTCAAAGATCTTATCAATTCCAATGATCACACCCAGTTTCATCAGAATCGGTTGAAAACTGTAGCTTCTATTGTGCTCACGAACAAATTTTGAAGCGTTTTTACAAAGTCAAGGGCAATTACTCAAAACCAATCATCAAAAATGCGTCAAGTTAGAACTTGTCCGAGATCTTATTAATTCCAATGATCATACCAAGTTTCATCAGAATCGGTTGAAAACTGTAGCTTCAATCCTGCTCACGAACTATTTTTTAACAAAGTCAAGGGCAATATCTCAAAAACCGTTCATCGAAAATATGTCAAATTCGAACTTGACCGAGATCTTATCAATCTAAAGCATCACACCAAGTTTTATCAAAATCAGATAAAAACTGTAGTCTCTATAGTGCTCACAAGATGGACCGACAGACAGGGGCAACGACAATATACGACCACATATTCATGTGGGCGTATAAAAACAACACATCTCAACTTTCAGTGGATAAAGGTTTTCTGTTGTAATGGTTGAACTATTTTATTTTAAATTTCATTTTGGAAGTATTGGGTGTGATCAGATATCAGCAATCTGATGGTTAAAGTCAAGGTTATATGTTCTTGAAAAATAGGACAATAACATAGTCTAGATCATCCAGATTACTACCACTTAGAGAAGACTACGAAGGTGTGGATAATCAAATAACTACAAGTCGTTTGTCCAAATCTTTTAGTAATCTTAATTCAATAATTACTATATATAAACATGAGATGATCTTTCATATGATACTTTATAATAATATTCATGTCCAATAACGCTTTGATACCTTTATTTCAAATATTATATAAGAATTTGATACAAAGATGTACACTGAGCAGGAGGAAATTGTCAAGCACCATGTTAAATAAACATTGCCGTATGTGTTTATTAGTGTGAATATTCTCATAACTTAATGTAAAAAAATAATGAAAATAAGAAATCCATTGGTGATTTTCACTCGTAAATTGAAAGTATTTACATGCAATTTTTGAAAGGAATATATCAATATCGTATAGTTTATGTACGATACAAAATTTTCCAAGTTAGCAGGCCTCGGGTCAATTACATTGAAATGTAATCAATAACATTACAATTACAATTACTTTTTCATAATTTAACATTACATTACTTTTGCATTCTTTTTCAAAATGTAATCAATTACATGATTACTTTTAATGAATCACAATGGCCCTCCCAAAAATACGCTACAGCTTTATATATTTTCCAATCAGATACAAATTACTCAAATTTGCATTGCATTTTATCACTCATTGTCTTCAATCAATGCACAATGTTCTGGCCTGAAGAATTTTCCAACAATGCTGAAAAGTCTTTCCACTTGTGCAGGAGGCTGGCACAATTATACATTTTGAATCCATTGCATCAAAGCAGACTGGCAAATTGACACGTGACACATGGAAAGTAGATTACTCTTATTAACTGTTACTGTAAAAGTTAAGCTAATTTAACCTATCAAGATAGACCCTTTGTTTCAGTTAACCCAAATGAACCAATTAAACTAAAATACTATTACAACAAATGGAATGCCAAAACGGAAAAAATCCAACATGAAAAAATCACATTCCAAGAAATTAACATTTTATAACAAGAAATTCATATCAAGTACCACAAATTTTTATAATATACCAAAATCATAAGATAGCTAGCAAGGTAATATACGCCCACTGGCAGCTTTGATTTTGAATAAAAAATATTTAGCAGTACAGTTACAATCACCAGTATGAAATATTCAACCTTCAGTCATACACTTCTTTTGAACTCGATAATGAATATTTAGTATGAGTTATTGCCCTTGTTCTTTAGAAGGGGTTCAATTTATAGCTCGTGAAAACTCCAGAAGGCAAAAATTCAATCTTCAGCCCGGTACTGAACAATAAAACCAAGTTTTTTCCAAATCCAGCAAAAATCATGCCTTTTATTGTTTAAGAGCTAAAATTTGAAAGCGTTTTCAAGAACGAGGTCAAAAACTCCTATGAAACATATTTCGATTTTTTTGATTTTATCTTGAAAAAGTCGGTTTTCCTCTTGTAAGTTTTTTTGTGGTCTAAACGATAAAGGTAGTTTGCTCCCTTCAACTATTATTGAATTCAATGTGAGTTGAAGCGATCTGTCGAATATGCTTTGCGTTTGGGCGATCTATATCCAGTTAATTATGATAGAAAATTATGTTTCTGTTACGATACTTTGCGGCACAGTTTTAAGCGTAAAATCAAAACTGTTACGCACTGCTTCAGAACCTCGAGAAGCCTGTGGATCTAGTTTTTATTTACACTCAAAAAAATATTTTGTGCAACAAGTTTTTATTATGTACCAAGAAATGTTAATATCTATATTAAAAAAAAAAATTTCTTTAAAATTTTCTATTTATGTTTCAAAAATTTTATTTATATACCAAGTCGTTAAAATCATGTTGATATAAACATGGTCCAAGATTCACATGATCATTCAAGATTCATGTGACCACACAAACTTACGACATCAGCAATAAAAACAAAGTCGTTTTTATCAATGAGTTATATAACTCACTGGTTTTTATCCCGAGTTAATCTGATTCAATGTGCAGTGTTGTTACTCTGATAGGTCTATTGACAGTGTGCTGACAACAGAGAATGGACACCATTTTATAAGAGGTCAAAAACTTTCAAACTATATTATATTGCAAAGTTAATTTGAATACACAGAGTTTCTGTTGCAGCTGTCATAAATCTGTGTTTCCCGGGTGTGTTTCCTATCCCGTAGCCTTCCCATCATAGGCCCCCGTAAAAAGGCCTATTGTTACTGAGGTCAACTTATTCAATAAAATCATAGAACTGTACAAATCTATGAAAAGATAAGTATAAGACATTAGGCTTTACATCGCCTATTGGAGTGGAGAAGAAAAACACAATGTGTTTCACCGGAATCGTGCCCACAAATTGTTCCAGTTAATGTTTTGATGTTAATTCATCATTTTGTGAATCTTGAATGATCACATGATGCTTGGACCTAAAAATCTTGCAACATAGTTTTAACTTCTTGGCATATAAAAAAAATTCTTGGTTTTGGCATTCTATATTATAAATTATGAACAGACGGCTTCAAAGTATACGCATAGTTAGGTTTTTATAGGTTTTTAACTCAAAGCTTTGTCAATTGATTTTGTACATAAACAGGTTCACATAGCTCATTGTTCAGACTGACTGAGTTACTAATTTTAAATTAATCAACATTTTAGTTTCTTTACATTTTACTAACAAGATGATCTAGCCAATGTTAGGTAATTCTACAATCAAGTCAATACCCCTAGTTTTAGTTGGGTACTGTTCATAAAACAATAAAACTATTCAGGCTCAAGCCAATCTGCCAGCTTGTGGTAGGGCTGAAATTGATGATCACTAAATTTAATGCAAAAATAATGGAAAGTAATCTAAAAGTAATCTTAAAGTAACAAGATTACAGCCTATTTGTGGATGTAAGTGATTACAATTATATTACTTGTAGTTGAAAAAATATTCGATTACATATTACATCCGATTACTTGAAAATTTGTAATTGATTTCAGCTGATTACTATTATAGATTACGATTACCCCAGGTCTGAGAGTAAGAGGCTATAATCAACCCCCAAAAAGTCTGTACTTGTTCATTTGAAAATAAGTACAGTAGCCTCTGTTTTTAATTAAACCTTATGTATATACATAGATAGCATATCATTATAATGATACATTTTCAGGTATACGGTACTAAACTTTTTTTGAAAATTTTGTATACTGGACTGCCCCTTCAATTTAACCACACCATTTTAAATTTTCAAAATTGGAATTCGATTAAAAAAATTACACAAAGCATTAAATAAATTCAAATAAAAATCTTCATGGTCATGTCATCTTTTGAGTGTAAATGATATCTCATTTTAGTATTAAACTGATACTATACAATCCCAAAATCAATTTCAGACAAAAACCCACAATCCAACATTAAAGATAGCTTGCCAGGCAAGCCAACAGAATCAGTTAGGAACTAAGTTTGATTTTCATGGTAAAAAATCGTAAACCTTGACCAATAATATGATTACACGTTAAGGGTAAAAATCTAAATTTTATTTTTATTTTAAGAGGTAAAATTCCTCCTTGCCAAAAATTATCCTGGCCCAGCTTTGGTCCCCCAGTTTTAAATTTCCTATCATTGAGTTCTTATATGCCTGGATGCCTGGTCCTGTCAGCCTTCCCTTGATAGCTCAAATCAGACCAAATTCAATCAAACCTGAATAAAAAACAAGCTTCTATAACAAAAAATCTGATCTTTGCTGTTTTTCTCACTAAGTCTAGGGCAATATCTCATAAACTCTGAAATTATTTCCTCCCAGAGAGTTGTGTAAAAAAAAATAAAACCTTACCTTTGGTGGTTTAAAAGGATAGTCTGTTGGAAAATGTATCGTTAAGAAAAAAACACCACCCTGATACGGACTATCACTCTGAAAATAACAGATTCAAAATTAAATAATGTAATTTATCATGATACAGATGCTTATCTCTCAACAAATTAGACTCTTCAGAAAAAAATCCTTGGATTCTGTAATAGATGACCAATGCCCTAAATAAAAGGCGTTCACTGATAAACAGAAACAGAAAAGGTAGCATCAAGGGAGGTAATTTAATGACAGGAATATCTGTCTGAACGGTTAAATGGATTCATCTCAAGACTTGTAAACCCGTTAGAATTGAAGACAGTAAGCTTATATGATCTCCCTTAATATGATCATTATTACCGACATCAGATGGGATAGTATAAAATTGGTAATATTTGATTACATACCGGTCCCATTATAGTTGCTTGCCAATGAAATACTGAAAAGAAATGTGTATAGATTCATTATTGACAACAATCATATAAACCCAATTAACTAGTCTACAGATAAAATCATCACTACTAAGTGGATGGAATCAATTTTTATCATATTTATATAAAGTTCACCTGGTTGAAACTTTGATAATGATATGAACCTACTGAATAGGGCCAATGAAGATGGGCAACACCATGTAGTGTGCAATGAGGGTAATTTTGCCAGGATAGTGATATTAGCCTATTCCTTTTTTTGATTTCCAATTGCACAGCTTATAGCACATGGGGCCTGAGGTTTATTGTCCCATCCAAACAACTATGCGCTTTTTCCACGTCAGCCCCTCAGAACTCCATTATTAACAGGGGCATATTGGGCTGAAAAAAAAAGGTATTATCTCAATCTATGGTTGTGTTGAATCATGGATATTCAGCTTTGGAAGCAAGTGTCTAACTCACTGAGTTACCGTGGCTATATCATGTGATCAGATAAAAAGGACCCTTAGAGAGATGCCTCATAAAATGCACTTTCAACTTTTTGGACCTACACGGTGTGAATAGTAAACGGGGTTTGAAATCTAAATTTTACATTTACTTTAAGAGGTAGAATTCCTCCCCGCCATAAATTATCGGGTGGGTTTTAAAAGTCAGCCGCCTTCCGCTGCCAACCGGCATACCGGAGTGAAAAAAAGGCGCTAAAATGAGCATTGTTAAATCTAAGGATCGTAGACTTTCATACTACAAAATGAAACTCTTCCATTTGAAGGAATTTTTGGTGACGTCAATATTATGGAATCAAAGTTATTTTAAAAATGAAACGAAACAAATTAATATTTCTTTTCTTGCTTTGAGATATTTTCCTTCACATTTTCTGATTTAATTCGTGTTTAAAATAGCAATAATCTCTTTTAAAAATAATAATGACGTCAACAAAAATTCCGTCAAATGGAATAGTTTCATTTTGTAGTATGAAAATCTAAGATCCTTAACTTTAACAATGCTCATTTTAGCGCCTTTTTTTCACTCCGGTATGCCGGTTGACTTTTAAAACCCACCCTAAATTATCCCTTCTTTGAGTTCTTATATGCCTGGATGTCTGGTCCTGTTGAATTAAGCGTGCAAATTAAGAGATAAGAATTTAGACCATTGGTGTATGTATAATCATTTTCTTTATCTTTTAACTTACAGTCATCTCCAACTGGACCTGCAGAACATTGTGCTGGAGGATCTCTTCCTAAATCAGTTAATTCCTGAAAAGAAATTTCAGAGTTTAGTTTTAATTTTGATTGATTGTATATTCCCAACATAGGTTTATTAAATTCAAACAAATTCTTATCACAATATGAAACAATTAATAGCTTTGTTTCTTAATCTTACAGAGGCCCTAGGCCATATTGCAGTGCGTTCTATCAAACGCACTGCTTTGTTTTGCAAATGTTTTTTTTTTTTTTTTTTTCAATTCTGCTGCCATTGCCCAGCCTAAACTACGCATGCCACATTCTCACTTTTTCGATTTCCTTGTCAAACTCGTGAAACTAAATAATATGAATATAATTTTTTCAACCGGAAAGTCGTAGGACGAAAATGTATTTTTTCTTTTTTTCTAATTAACGACTCTGATTTCGATCTTTTTAAGTTAACTGCTTTGAATTAAGTTCTACAGGTTAGCAATTCAAGAATTTCAGAATTTTGAATTTTGTCGCTGACTTTTTGATTTTAAAAATGTGAGTTTTATAACTTTTACAATTCAATTTCGATCAATCTGAAAATTTACAGGTAGATGGTCATTTTGATTGCGAAGTTAATTCAATTTTCATTTTTTCGATATCACTTCCGGTTTTGACGTTATTCGCTTTTAAACTGAAAATTTCAACTACTGGAATGTTTGTTATTTATTTACTCGCAAAGTATATAATTGTCACCTATAATATTTTGCAGGTTAATAGGTAACTAGTTTGGCCAATATGTGGTAAAGGTAAATCTGTCTGGGCTTTTTACTTTAAAAAAAGGAACAGGTTTTATAATTTACTAGATTTGCATTTTTGACCTTTAACATGGATGACCTTGAACTTTTCAAGGTCAAAAGTCATTGATCTATAATGTCAATTTATACTTTGATCTTTGATGTCTGACTTCCAGTTTTATAAGCTTCAAAAAACAGTTATTTTCAAAACTTTTAAGGCTCATATCTTGTAACCTTGACCTTTGGTGAATAGTGGTCTGACGAAAAGCCATAGCCCTTGATGAAATCTATTCCATGTACCTTTGATTTTGTTGTACAATGTCTACATCCGTTTTTATAGCCATTTGAATATTGTGAATAAGACTATAACACAAGCCGAGTGCCAGGAATATTCTTAAATGGTTGGAACATGGATTCCTATATTTCAATAATTCTAAATATGGAAGAGACTGATCAAATCCACACAAAAAAAAATCAATTCTAAAAATGTACTTTTTAATTTTTAGAAAAAATGATTAAAAAATGTATTAGAATTGTATCGTTGGGATACAACCAGTAAAAGGTTTTAAAAGAAACATAAGTGGTATATAAGGTTGTAATACCCATTATAAATGTGGAGAGAAACCCCTCTCTCTTCGGAGGGAGGAACTTCAGTATTTGTCCGAAAGCTGTCCAACATATTCCAGCATCAGAAGATTTACTCGTGTCGGAAATAACAAGAAGAATCAGAGTATTTCTAACGGGCAAGCGGTCACTGATCTATTGAGAGAGCATCAGCTCGATCCTTGAACGACGCCTATCGGCAACTTCGTTTTGGAAGGTTACCAACCCGACAGTCAACACCCAGCTGATCCAGAGTACCAACAAGCACGAGAACCCAGTGGGATCAAGAGCTCGCGCTCTTGATCTCATTGATTCCGTGTACGCCGACCATTTGAAGATCTACACCGATGGTTCCAGCAAAAGGCATCCACATCAGTAAAAGGATCCCCCCACACTGTTCAGTGTTCACAGCAGAATTTCTTGCCATCAGGGAGAATGCCGCGATACTATCCGACTCCAAAATCCGAAATAAGAAGAATGATCCACAACTACCAAACCAACAACGACCAGAAGATTGAATTAGTACGTCTCCATTCCTGGCAATGATCAAGCAGACCGTTGTGCCAAGGAAAGTCTGAGTCTGGAGGATATCGAGCCTGTAGAATACTCCTATTCGGAGTTCTGCAGTATCGTATCTTCTAGGATCAACCAGAAATGGGCTGACATGTTACGGAACCTCGACACCGCAAGATACCAGATTGATCCGAAGATACCAAACCAAACCATCCATCTATAGCCATCTGCAAAGTGGCAACCAGACTCCGGACCAACAACGTACTACGAGACCATCAGTTCAACGGCATTAAATGTCGCTGCGGACACGTTGCCACAAGGTCGCATGTCCTCATTCAATACACTGAACTGAAACTCGCTCGTAAGCCACTGTTAGAGTATCTGGAAACCAACAGCATACCACTCACCATACAGAATGTTTTGGCTCCACCCACGGACCACTGGTATACGATAATGGAACTAGTCTTCCATTTTATAACCAAATCTGTCTTGAACAGATATGCTAAGTTTTTATACTCAAAGTTTCTTAACACTTTTTAATTATATCCAATCAATTTAACAAGTTTCATTGCAGAAACATCAGAGAACACCCCTCCCCCTTTGGTTGAAGCTTCCACCAAGTAACTCACGCCACACCGCCATGTCATTCGACCCGACCAGATCTAACGAAGAATCAACAACCAAACCAACAACACCGAATCATCCAATTTGATCCAATCCAACTACCAACTACTACGACTACCAACAACTACCTAGTTTGCGATATCAGCATCCGCTGGAAGCGAACATTAACTTGTCATCTACCTACCCATTATACATGTAAGAAGATAAGGCTATGAAGAAGCTCGACTCGTATGATAGAAACTTTCTGGATTCTATAAATTTCCAGAATGCAACACACTGCTTCAGACCCATAACCTATTGACTCTAGGAAATGTTATTGTTTTTGGTAATGAAGCCAGTAATTAAGGGCAAATTGGAAGAAAGTTTAAATATAAAAGGATTCAAGAGGTTCTCTAGCCAAGTTTGTATGTGTATCTATAGCTTCATATTTCCCACCATATGTTACCTAGTGAAGTTTCAGAAAAATCAAGGTATCATTTTTCACAAATACTCTTTGGCTACATATACAAATTCAAAAGCTGAAAAACCTTTGCAACTTCCTTTAATATATTTAAATGCTTTCAATTCAAACACATCATCTTTTCTATTTTTGTTAACAGATACTCCCATGGTGGTGAATTGAGGATCTTTATTGGATTTATAATCAGTGATTTGTTGTAACACAAATGATCAGCCTACTTAATGAAATAATCACTGCACTTGATATAATCTAATAGCCTTCTTAATCCATCTTAATCTTTCATCTTTCAGTAAACAAGCATGGTAAAATATTGATTGTATAGGACACCTATTGTAGGTGTATCCCATGATGGGTAAACTCCCAATGTTTTACATTGTATAATCATTTGAATGTACTATAATAAGTGTCAATATATCATAAGACTTCCTCTATCTTAATATTTCACCTTTTCAGTAAACAAGATCAAAGATTGCTCATAATCTGATCAGAATGGATTAAATTAGGTGAAGTTATTTAATCTAATGGGCCTGTTCAATTTGATTTGCAGGCTTGTTTACTTGGACTACTTTCTCTTGTCTAACTGATAGAAATTTCAATAAATTTCAGCAACGACTATCGAACCACAATGATTAATAAATGCGAATAATTTTCATGGTTTGCCTAAATTTCAGGGAAGGAATTGTAAAACCTCCAAACCCTGTATTTCTCTGGACCCTAAAACCTTTGAAGATGGTTGGCATGCAAATGAAAGCTTAATTCATTTAATAATAAAAAAAAATCAATTATAAGCTCACTTAGGTCACGTTTCCACCAAGCTTTTAAGTCAGCGTTGGCGCCGGCATCAGCTTTCGCATTTGAATTTGTTTTGACCAGGCGTTCGCGTCAGCGTCATTTCTAGCTTCGGACACAGCCAACGCTCCCACACCCAATTTTAAATCAGATCGCGCGGTTTTGTACCATATTTGGAATGGGACGTCATCAATGTCGTCACCCAGGGTTGTCTTCTTCATCAAAACACGTGGTAGTATATGTCGATTTCAGCTGAAAAATGAGCGATTCAGGAACAGACAAGCTTATAGAAGCTTTACAGAGGCGGCCTGTACTGTACGATAAATCTACTATACAGCGACAGAGACGTGAAAGAAAACCTCTGGGAATCCATAAAGCAGGAACTCGGTGCCAAAGATAACAGTAACAAACTAGGCCTATTGATTTTGAGTAAGCCTATAGTGCGATGAGTGTACGTGACACCATATAGGCCTAATTTCTATTATTCGTATACTATATTTCAAGGGTGAGACAAAAAATGAAAATGTTGCTTAAGTTATACATTATGCTTGGAGAGAATGAGGATAGCCTAAACGCTGAAATAAATCTACATGTATAGATAGGCTTGTTTTCAGTAAATATGAATTTAAAGTTGTTGATATAAGAAAAAATAACATTTGGTTTAATTTGTCTGGTTATTAAAAAGAAAATATTTGTTGTGGAATCTTAGCCTTTTGTTCAAGTGATATAGATTCAACATAATTGATCTCAGGTTGTAATTCTGTACAACGTGCAGACCTGATTGCTTGGTAGAAACACTCAAACGCGGATTTGAGCGCAGATGGGGACGTTGACGCAGACGCCAACACAGAAGCTTGGTGGAAACGTGGCCTTAGCCTACCTACAATACACTGTGCCACTGATGTGTAGCAGCCTAGATTCCACAGCCACATCAAATATGACAATATTCTTCTTGAAACAAAGATTAAAAGAATGAACAAGTCTTAATATATTCAAAATATATCTTGATAAAATAGGACCAAGACTAAATTTTGTTTCTGGTAGTAATTAATGTAGTTCCAAATCATAGCCTACCCGTTGACTAGGCCTATATTTAACCCAACTCAACTGTATGTATTGACAAGACAAATGAATAGGGAAATGTCCTCTTTAATTGCCATATTGGAAATTGCCTTTAGATCCATAAAGCCGATCAACTTGTTCATATTTGATTATAATACTATACATACCTTCTGAATCCGCTTTAAAGCCATGGCCTGAGTTATGTTTTTTGTTCTAATATTGGATAAATAAATTTCCTCTGTTGAGGGGAAATGAATGATCTTTCTTCTTGTTCGATGAGAGAGCATGCGCGTAAATAGTTTACTAAACGGAGTTACCCCCCCTCCATATACAGGCTCTGAGTCATAGTACTATATTTATATGTCGATCTACCGTGTTGGAAATATTAGGTCCACGTTGGAAATATTAGATCCACGCAGGTTAAGAAAGGGTCACGACTTTTTATACGCCCACGTGGAAATGTGGACGTATATTGCCGTCGCCCCTGTCCGTTGTACGTCGGTCCGTTCGTTCACATTTCTTGTTGGCGCGATAGAGGCTACAGTTTTTATCCAATCTGAATGAAACTGGGTATGCATGTGTATATTGATGAGATCTCGGTCAAGTTCGAAATTCGTAATTATCGGATGACCGGTTTCAGAGTTATTGCCCTTGACTTAATAAAAACGCGTCAAATTTGGCTTGTAGGCGCGATAGAGGCTACAGTTTTTATCTGATCTTGATGAGTCTTGGTACTGAAGATAATTTGGCCGCCTTTTGACAGCCGCCGATTCAAAATAGTGATATACTAACTCGCCCAAACGATCAAATATCTCTTAACCAATCACTGCCATGGATACATGATATAAAATGAAAGTAGATCTGAAAATAGTACTTTACTTTTCGACTTTTCTGAAAATCTACACTTATAGACAAATTACGACCCATCGTACAAAATTCTCAATATTGAGACTTATATATTTCAAAAGGACATTGAATGAGCTTTCATAAAATCGAGGTTAAAACCTGGCACATTCATATTAAAGGGTGGTCACCTCACTCTGAAATATATACAAGTTTTGACTTTTTTAAATTTTCATTTCTAAACATTTTCGGGCTTAAATTACGGCCCATCGTACAAAATCCTCAATATTGAGACTTATATGTTTCAAAAGGGCATTGAATGAGCTTTCATAAAACCGAGGTTAAAACCTGGCACATTCATATTAAAGGGTGGTCACCTCACTCTGAAATATGTACAGTCTTTGACTTTTTAAAAAATATTTACTTATAGACATTTTCGGGTTAAAATTACGGCCCATCGTACAAAATTCTCAATATTGAGACTTGTATATTTCAAAAGGGCATTGAATGAACTTTCATAAAATCTAGGTTAAAACCTGGCACATTCATATTAAAGGGTATCTGTCTCATTCTGAAATATATACAGGTTTTGACTTTTTTAAATATTCTGTTTTAAACATTTTCGGGCTAAAATTACGGCCCATCGTACAAAATTCTCAATATTGAGACTTATATGTTTCAAAAGGGCATTGAATAAGCTTTCATAAAATCTAGGTTAAAACCTGGCACATTCATATTAAAGGGTGGCCACCTCACTCTGAAATATATACAGTCTTTGACTTTTTAAAAAATATTTACTTAAAGACATTTAGGTCTAAAATTACGTCCCATCATACAAAATTCTAATATTGAGACTGATTTGTTTCAAAAGGGCATTGAATGAGCTTTCATAAAATTTAGGTTAGAACATGGCACATTCATATTAAAGGGTAGTTGTCTCACTCCGAAATATATACAGGTTTTGACTTTTTTTGAATTTTCAGTTTTAAACATATTCGGACTAAAATTACGGCCCATCGTACAAAATTCTCAATATTGAGACTTATTTGTTTCAAAAGGGATTTTATGTAAGCTCATTTAATACCCTTTTGAAGCATATAAAACTCAATGTTGAAAATTTTGTACGATGGGTCGTAATTTGTGCCCGAATTTTAGATTTATTTATTTAGATTATTTGCCTTATGTACTATTTTTAGATCTACTTTCATTTTATATTATGTATCCGTGGCAGTGATTGGTTAAGGAATATTTCTTCGTTTGGGCGAGTTGGTATCACTATTTTGAATCGGCAGCTACTAAAGGGCGGCTAACTTGACAGCTCGAATCGACGGCTACGCGAAAAGGCGACCAAATTGTCTTCAGGAAACTTGGTATGCATGTATATATATTGATAAGATCTCACTCAAGTTCGAAATTCGTAATTATCGGATGAATGCTTTCTGAGTTATTGCACTTGATTTAAAAATCGCGTCAAATTTGCCTTGTAGGCGCGATAGAGGCTACAATTTTTTATCCTATCTTAATGAAACTTGGTATGCATGTGTAGCAGGAGGTAATCTAGGGCAGTTATTTCAGACCAAAAACCTCCAACCCAAATATCAATCCTGTCGTGTCTCAATACACCAGGAGTTCCAGGTTCTTTCAGGATACTGATCTCAATGGAAAGTAATAAATGATTAAACAAAAACACATTTATTAACTCAAGACAAGACACCACAGAACGAATTTCAAACAATACATTTACACAAACATTCAAAACCCCCGATTCAAGACCATAGTCCCCGTTTTAGATCAGTCCATCTGAACGAGCGGAACGTTATATTCCCGATTCAGATTTGACTGGAAACCAAACCGACCCAAGGCAACCACAAATCAAACAGCCAGATCGTCTGACTAAGGTAAGAGCCAACTCTATGAGAGGAGTGTTTTAACTCCCACAGAACGAACATGCTTACCGTGAGCCGTCTACCGACCAACTGCCTGTAACGTGATACAATCGAGCTTTTTATAGTGTTTGCTCATGAAAATCACGTGCAATGCTAAAGTCAACTCTCATTGGTCGAATCCACACTCGATTGATGAAATGCCATAACGTACAAAATAATCCGGAAACTCAAACTTCCGGTTCGTATCAAATTACGGTACATTAAATATGCCACCTGCTACATACCCCCTTACCAAAATCGAGTGGATCGCCGAGAAAGGAGATTGAAAATGACAGAAAAACAAATATTCAAAATATTACAATTAGGCTATCTTCAAACCAGTCTAACTCTGCTGCTGGTCCGGATTGTTCACTATTGTTTCCATCGTCATGGTCCATCTTCGACTCTTCGTACCCTGTCAAAAGGCCCGATGTCCGATTTTGTGTGTGATTATGATTGACCAATGGTGGTAAAACATCCCCAGGATCAATATACTATTGAGAACTTCCTTTACCACCATCTCAGATCTTCCACCATGCGATGTGTCTAAATATGCTGTCTAACCCTTGCCTTTTTCCAAAATGACCATTTACATTCTGTGCTTATTTTGAAAGGAGTGTGAACAGTTCTCCAATGTTCAAGCATTTTTTCCCATTTAACACGCCAGTTCTGCATCCTTGCACCTGACAACACATACCCCCAGACAGAACAGGGTCTCGGAGAGTTTGTTGAAACCTCCACAGTTCTTCTTTTACATTATTTGAATATTTACGATACAAAAAACATCATGCCTCTAGACAAGCTTCTCCCCCTGTGATGCCAACAGCCTGGACTCTTTGAACAGAGAAGTCAACTCTCCAGATTCTGGCCTTTTACCCGATTGAAGCAAACTTTGATAAATTGGCCCTATTGCAATATCATTCTTTTGTAACGTTTTGATCTCCGTATCATTATAGACAGGAAGCCAATTTGGATCTGATACAACACCTTCACCTTCAATCACATTACACATGCTTTGAAAATTCCCGTGCTCATTTATTGAAAACCGATCAGTTGCAACGTCCAACTCTCTATCTTGACCCGAAACAGAAACAGCTTCAGACTCACTCAAATTCTTAGAAGTCTCGGGAACCAAAGACTGCAAGTGTTCTGGTACTGTGGAGGATTTCGGGGCATCCCCGTTAGGTACACTATTCACTTCAGTTACACTCTCCACCCTACCTATTGTAGTACCAACAGGAACCCCTTTTTCCCTATCATTCATGTTCAAAATACAAGTCGTTAAATCTTGACTATCAACCAAAGAACGTGCCAATAGCAATTTTTGCTTCAATATATAATCGTTTGGTTCCAACAACACATCTGTATGATACAAATTCCTATCAGCAACAAACTTAACCACCTTCTCGGATCTCGCAGGAATGGTTACCGTTTCCATGGTATTCACATGTGCACATGTCAAACACCAGTCCTGGGAGAAAGGGATATGTCGCCTTTTCCAGTAGACATGATCATTTTATCAAAATTCAAATTGCACTTATTCCATTAATACAAAATCCATGCCTAAAATTCCATTTAAGGGCATATCGATCACCAAGAAATCATGTTTAAAGGGTATATCACATAATTTGAATTCCAAATGCATTACTCCTAAAGGATGTATGGGTCGACCATCAGCACAATGAAGGACATAATTAGTATCATATAACTTTGGCCTATCTTCGCTCGATATTTTAAGAAAATCAACAAATGACATCAACGAAAATGTTGACCCTGTGTCGCATAACAGAAGCCTTTCCCCTAGACCAGACACTTTCATTGGCACATAACAACATGGAGCAACTTTCTTCATTACAGTCATCACCCTCCTCAATCTTCCAAAACTTTACATCCGAGTTGTGTACTGGGCCGTTGGCCCCTTCCGTTTGAGAAGCCCTATTATGACTCATTACCTCCGATGGAACCACCTCCACATCATCATTCTGTTTCCCCTTAATTTGCATTACTGATGAGGCAACAAGAACATCCTTTCTCTCGTCCCTATGCGGCACCTTAAGTTGAGGGCAATTAGGCTTAATATGTCCCGTATTACCACAATGGTAGCAATGAACTCGAGAAATCGGTTCTATTTCCCGTGCAGTTTGTGACAGACGAGGTCTATTAAATTCAGTAACCCCTACATTTGACCTATAACCTCGATCATATCCCTCTTCATGTCTAAGATACCCCTCATCCTTAAACCTATTCCTCCTAGCGCCACCTATCCTTCGATCCTGAAACTCTCTATCATACCTATCAAAATTTTGATTACGAAACCTGTCCCGTGGCCACTCAATAGCTTCATACTCAATTGCAGCCGAAATTGCTTTGATTAACATTTCGAGGATGAGACAACTGAACATGTTTTTCTAACTCATGATTACCTAAACCACATATGTACGGATCAACAATATGATCTTCTAAACTCTCGGGATGCGAATGAGGGAAAGCCTTAAAA